TAGCTCTGGTGTTAGAGCAGACTGATGGCACATGTGATGTGTCGGGGATCAAAGCATTGCAGCTTGAACTTGTGCCTTTTTTCACACATTAAGGAATGTTAAACCTTTCGGGAGAAGAAACGTTTTTGTGTACCTTTTTTAACAAAAACAAAGCATTAAGTCTGACATTAGGATTCAAATGTTTGTGTTAACGTCAATGTATGCACCCAAAAGTTGGCTTTTATTAAAGCACAATTAGCTTTCACATACTAAATGTACAGCTGAAATGCACCAGTTTAAGTAACTTTGCAGATAAACACTGTTCTCTCCAGATCAGATTGTTTCTCAGATGACTGTGCTTGAAGCAGCCTGTTGCATAACCAGCGTGTCTTGCTGAATTCATCTCGGCAATGTTTTTTTACATTTTTTATATATATATATAAACGTCCCCGGCAGAATGATACAATGTGTTGATCCGGCGGGGGTGCCAACTCGACTGTGGTACCTGTTCCCTCTGCTGGGGCTGCTTTCAAAGAGCTGAGTGAGTGTTCGTGAGGGAGGGTGCCTCAGAAGTCTTTTTCACAGAGTCACAAATTGTATGAATTATGTAATGTGCGTTGTATAATAGCCGCGAGAGGGATGTGTGCTGTAGGTGTGTGTTCCAGGAGCTGCAGAGGAGTTGTTTGGGTTGATAGCATCTCTCATATATTTTCCTTTCCCTCCAGTATAACCTAAAAGCAGGTCAGCTCTGGTTAGATAGAAGCCACTGAGAACCAGCCTCAGTAATCCTGCCTCTGGCTGCTTGGTAACGATCATTAGTTGAAAACACACTCTTTGTTTCGCCTCTAAGCAGTCGTCTTTGTCTCCGAATTGGAAGGAAAAAGATGGAGGATTAAAGTAGGATGAATAAAAGACGAGACTTAGAGAGAGGTTGGATACATCCGAGAATAAATGTTTAACTACTGCTGCTCTTAACAAGCCTGAGGTGTGCTAACACTGTTTTCAAAGAGAGAGTCATCATAACAACACAATCCTCAGGGTACTGGGTACAGCTTCAGCAGGTAGACTCTCTATGTATTAAATGTTTTATTTCCACTTTCAAGTTGATGGCTTCATCTCCTGCTAATGAGGTTTTGAACCTAAACTGATTTTCTTAGTGGGGCTGGGATTGTGTGGATGATACCCTAATTAGTTAACAGAATAGCTGACAGCATTTTGAGGGAAAGAAAAACCCTTTAAAGATGAAAGCCCAGAAAAAAACAAATGTTTCGTCTCTCTCATTCAGGCGTGTTCTTGTTTTTTTGCCTGTAATTTAGCATTACATTGTTAGTACCACTTTCATGTCTGAACACTGAATATGCAGTACAGCTCCGACTCCTAAAGTTTTTTTTTCGGAATGGTTATTTGCTTGACTATTTGACGACGATACTCCAGTTAACGCTTGGATTGTGTGGAGAAAGCAGAGCTAATTGTCTGCTGTCAGCTTAGCTTCAAAACCTTGGCTCTGCATCAAGTTTTTTAGAAAAAAATCATGAATGAATTATTAACACACCTTCATGTTGAACTGTCAAAGCATTGAGTTGGTTTTAACTCCGGGAAGGTGGCAATCAGATAATGTTTCTGTTTGCTTTTCCATTACATTACATTTAGCTGACGCTTTTATCCAAAGCGACTTACAATAAGTACATTCGACCAGGAAGATACAAACTTGAAGAAAACAGAATCATATAAGTACATCAGGTTTCATAGAGCCAAACATTTCAAGTGCTACTCAACTGTCTTTAGATAAGCCAGTCCTTTGTTAGTATATAAGTGCTTTGTTAATAGTTCTATCGCTCGAAGTGGAGTCGAAAGAGATGAGTTTTCAGTCTGCGCCGGAAGATGTGCAAGCTATCTGCTGTCCTGATTTCACTGGGGAGCTCATTCCACCATTTTGGAGCCAGGATAGCAAACCCTCGTGTTTTTGCTGATGGGAACTTGGGTCCCTCTCGCAGTGCGGGCGCAGCAAGCTGTTTGGCTGATGCAGAGCGGAGTGCACGTGCTGGGGTGTACGGTTTAACCATGTCCTGGATGTAGGAAGGGCCAGATCCATTCGCAGCATGGTACGCAAGTACCAGTGTCTTGAAGTGGATTCTAGCAGTTACTGGAAGCCAGTGAAGGGAGCGGAGGAGCGGCGTGGATGTTGAAGAAAACAGAATCATATAAGAACACCAAGTTTCATAGAGCCAAACATTTCAAGTGGGCTGAAATGGAAGGTTGAAGACCAGACGAGCCGCTGCATTCTGGATGAGCTGCAGAGGTCGGATGGCACATGCAGGTAGACCAGGAGGGAGTTGCAGTCCTCATGCGGTCGACTGCGTCTTTTTGTCGCGTCAAGACCAGGTGCGCCCAGAAGCAGTAGGAGTGCCNTTTTGAAATCTATTCTTTGACACACAGGAAGCCAGTGTAAAGACTTCAGAGCTGCTTGAGTCCTCACTAACACTAAGAAAGTGGATCACATCACTCCTGTTCTGAAGTCTTTACACTGGCTTCCTGTGTGTCAAAGAATAGATTTCAAAATACTGCTGCTGATTTATAAAGCACTGAATGGTTTAGGCCCAAAATACATTTCTGACCTCCTGCTAAATGATGAACCATCCAGATCTCTCAGGTCTTCAGGGACTGGTCAGCCTTCTGTCCCCAGAGTCAGAACTAAACATGGTAAAGCAGCGTTTAGTTATTATGCTCCAAATATCTGGAACAAACTCCCAGAAACCTGCAGGTCCGCTGCAACTCTCACTACTGCTAAATCCAGGCTGAAGACTTATCTTTTTTGCCGCTGCTTTTAATTGAAACTGAGCGGTTGTCTTTCGTTTTTGGTTAATGAACATTTGGGGCGAGTAACCCCAGGGAATCAGTGTCTGGGGACTTAGTCCTGGCTGATTTTCTCTGTGCATGCTGATCGGGACATATGTTCCATACAAGCGTACACAGCTCATGTTCGGAGAAACCTTAAAGAAAGGCATCAGTAAAATGGAACTTCTGTGTGAGCTATTCATATCTTAAACTGCACTGTAACTTTTTATTCATGTATTTTTTCTTTTATTATCTTTGCTTTTTAATGACTGTTTTTAAATGCCTTTTTCTTAATGTCTTTCATTTTTGTAAAGCACCATGAATTGCGTTGTGTTGAAAGGTGCTATATAAATAAACTTGCCTTGCCTTGATACAGTTTGCTTCTGCTAAATATGTATGATCCTGCTAGGTTATTTACATCCTGCCTTGGCACTGTACTTCAACAGAGTCTTGGATGCAAACATAAACCACACACATAAAGCATGCGTGCTATATATAGAATCAGAGTTTGAGCCTCCACCACCGCACTCTGCCGGTTCCTCTAGGGACGGCTTTGCTCCTGAGATGGTGAGAACAGATCTGACATAAATGACACCTCTAGGTGAGAAACTCCCACGGATAAGACAGAGGGAAAGATGGGAAATAAAATGACACCAAGAAGAGGGGCGGCAAGCAAGGTGGCATATGAGAGGACCCCTAGGGAGAGAGGAATGGGAAGAAACGCATATAGATATGAATAAAGAGGGGGTGTGATGTTAAAGGAGAGGGCTTTTATTCTTTCGTCTGTCAGCCCTGGATTACAACAGTAATGAAATGCCAAAAATGTTTCAAGGTCTCAAAATAATAAAGCAACTGGCATCACCAAGCATAAAATATATAATAATGCTGCTCTGCACTCAGAAAGAGGGTATGCAATAAATACAAGCATATCAACAAGGGCATAAGAATATAGGAAACCAGCTGACACTGTTCCACTCAGTGATCAAGCTAATCTAAATGTATTATAGAGCGGACTTAAAACAACTGATTTTTAAATGGAAAGGGAAGGAAAGCTATCCAAGTGAAACAGAGGGAAGTGATGTGCCTTCTGTATGCAGGGCAGGTCGTCCCAGACAGCCTGCTCCCACAAAGAGGGAGACTCGGTGCTACACATTTCTGTTTAAACCATTCAACATCACTCCCATCAGCTGTACAGCAGACGTGTCATCTCTCTCTGTACTCTTCATCCTCCTTTCTTCTTCTCGCCTCCTTAAAAGATATGAAAGGGCCAGAGCACAAACCTACAGGGAACATGTTCAGATCCACAGATCGGGCTTGTCATATTAAACTCAACACACTCCTATATGTTCAAATACACACACACAAGGATACACTGATGAACTGTATAAGTCTTCTAGAGGGCCTTGCTGATGCTCTTTGAAGTTCCTCCAGCCTCTGGTCATTAATAATGCGGCCCTCTTAGCTGGTCCTGGTTCGATGAACCAATGCCCCAAACTCCCAGAGGATTTACAGCTCGACCTGTGCGGACTACAAGAGGCTGCAAACACAATTATGTGCATACTGCTTTGTATTCAATTCAAATACTTTGGGAAACTGTCGGTGCCTTTAGGTTGCCTTGGCTAATTCCAGATGTGAGTTGATTACATTTAAGTACACATTAGTTGCTAGTATGTTGGCTGGTTGTATATGTAGGTAAGAACCCAAATGATTATTAATGTTTAACGTGCTGCATGTTTAAAATTGTACTGCACCTTGGTTCTTCATGAAAACTAGACAAAGCAGTCGTGTTAGCAGCTCAGAAACAAAGATACTTTTTTAGCCTAATGCTAATATCAGCATGCTACCATGGTCACAGTGACAATGCTAACATGCTGTTGTTAACTTTAAAGAATGTCAATGGTGCATGCAAATGTTCCTCAGAGAACTAGGAAGAACATTTGTGGACATTGTGCATACATTTAATGTGAAAACATGTGATATTTGAGATGTCTGCACTAGATAGAAAGTGATTCTTCCTTTGAAGCAAATTAGTCAGTACAAAGATCTCTCAGCAATCCATCAAATAGTTGCTGAGACAGTCTGGACGAGGGAGTTCAATAATAGAGAGGTTCAAAGTACGGTCAGGAGTCAGGACGTGAGAGGATGAGAAGACGGAGAGAGGAGGATTATTGGAAGTCGATGACCCGTCACAGCGAGGCGACTCTGATTGGTCCTTCTCTCAAGGTCGTCCTGACGACTTGGCCGACGGACAGATAGATCATCTTTGATAAGGAGGCGATAGACACGTGGGCAAAGTCTTTGAACAGCACCACACTGCAGGGGTCTACAGTGAGGACGCAGGGTCTGCCAGCTTTCATTTGGAAAGAAACTCAGTATGCAATGTTAGCAAGAGCCGTGCACAGGGATAAAAGTAGGGTTGAGGGAAACCTTTATAAAATTGTTATCGTTTTCTTCTACCAAGTCAAAGTTGTGTCGAGCATCATTGAGTGATTTATTGAAAACTTTTACAGCATCAATTTGGGTGAAATTCATTTTTGAAATGTTTTTGAGAAATTTAAAACGCAGCTAGCCTAAGACTACCAATTGTAATAATGGAAAAGGAAGCATGTTCATGTTTTTGTATGACTTGTTATTATACAAGTCACTGAAAATGGAGAAATACTTACATTACTTTCTCTAAAGTAAGAATGGATAGACTTTTATAGAAAAAAGTGTTTATTTGTGCAACTTTAGGATGAATTAATTCACATTGTCTTAATTTTGCCTTTATGTGTTAACATTATTGCAATCAGTTGATACAGCTTATATATAAATATAAAACTCCATAACATTATTCACGTGCTACTCGGCTCATATGCCAATATTAACTACTGCAGAATAGAATAGACAAGCTTAACCCCTGTGTGTACTGGATCAAGTATTGATTTTGATCAGAAATGGTTTTAACTCATTGTGTCATAACATACCAAAAGATTCACACCCCTAGAAGAAAGGAGTTGGGAAGAAAACACGATAACAGAAATATGGAGGGAACAGAAAAGGAAGTCACTGAGGTAGAGAAATCCCTGGACTACCTCGCCAGGTAATTAAGGAAATGTAATTCAAACTCTAATCAGAGCAGCTGCCCCCAGGTGCTGACAAACACTGATTGTTGAGGGAATATTACGCAAGCGTCATGCTATTTAACCACCACAGCAGGTGGTAGTACAGCAATCCAATATTACAGTGTATGATCATTTAGCCGAAGCAGTAAAGACGAGAAAATGATATGATTAAAACCACCAGCATGTTTGCGTTATTCCTCATTTACACTGCATAAATGAACGGTTCACAGGTACATGATGCTGACAATTGATACATACACACAAACAAATGAACACCCACCCTCTCTCAGACTGACTAAGCCACATACAATTACAACCTACATTATTTAATTATTTCCCTGCAGAGAGAAGTCTTCTCCCTGGTTAAGTTGTGCCATAAACCCAAAACTGCACCAAGCATGTAAGGATCTACCAACTCCCTATCACACACACTCATTCCCTCACACACACATCAGACTTGTTTCCGGCGATAAGTATTCTCCACCAGGAGCAGTCTGGGGCCAGCAGTCCTAATATTACTACACTAAACGTGCCCGGCTTCTGAACACAGATACACAGAAAAAAGCTGCTGTCCTTCTGAACATTTTGTATGATAAAAAGACATGAATAATTGCAGTTTGCCAGTATGAGTGAGCTCCAGAGGATCCTCACTCAGTAAGAACACAAAAGATTCAAAAGAAACACATTTATACAGCAGAGAGATAATATATGTGCACCATGAGCGTTACTTCATGCTCCAAACATCCAAAATCAATCCGACAGCTTAGCTATAAGTGTCCTAACTTCACGGCAAACACTAAAGACGATCAATCCACCTTACAGTGAAAGACGATGACATCCCGGTTCGTTGAAAAACGACAGAAAAAAGGGAAAGACGACACTCCAAGTCGCCTATACATCGAACGGTGGCACATCATATCAAGCAGTCGTTACCGTATGTGCAGTTACAACACAGCCTGAGGACCAGAAGCACCTCCATGTCCCTCATCTCCTCTCCTCACTCTCTTCTCCTGCCTCCTTTCTCAGGCAGACAGGCAGAGCGGCAGAGAGAGAAAGGGTGTGTGTGTGTGTGTGTGTGTGTGTGTGTGTGTGTGTGTGTGTGTGTGTGTGTGTGTGTGTGTGTCGGTTTGCCTCGCAAAGCCTGCTACTGCATACACAAGTAGAAGGGGCAGGACTGGAGTCTTAAAGCAGCAAGCTAGTCTACACAGATGAACACACACACACACGCTCACAAATAGACAAGAATGTGCACGCGCACACACACACACACACACACACCCACATAACACTTACCTTCCATTGAGACATTTGTGGTACAATCTTTGGAGTCTTTAGGGCCTTTTACTTTGAGGTTCTGAAAGAAAGAGAGAGGAGTGGAACAATCACTTTAATTAATTATACACACACACATCCACACTCTCACTCCCACACACACACATTGAGGCAGATAGAACTAATGCAGAAGTACTGTATGGGGTCACTGCAGCAGACTGGTCTATGCACCCTACACAAGTTTACATCACACTAAATTAAAGTTAACAGCATCAAAAATCCACCACAGTGCAAATCCAAAAAAAATCTATTAAGGATTTAATAAAAAAAACTAAGACTAAAACTCAAGTTTCAGTAAGTACTCTGCAGTGTATTGTCATCGGATTAGTGTTAAGACAGGGCGTTGTTCGGGAGAATTACCAAAATTACAGAAAGGAAGAGAGTGTAAGCTAATCATACACATATGTTTACAGTACGTAGCTTTTCATGCAGTCTGCGGAAGTTCTGTAATGTTAGTGTCCCATCAGTGGGTGGTAAAGGTCAAAATGGGATGATTCATGTTCTTCATGTCAGAAGTGCAGAAAACAGCTTTGCACTTTTTTTGTGGTTATGTCCATTGATCCAAATGTTGTGGTGTTTGATTCAATATAAATTGAGAACTTCCATCGGCTTGAGCAGTAATGGATGCAAAACGATATTCTTTGTGAAAGCGCCTTGTTTTGTCAAAAGGCAGAATCATGTTGAATGGCGTAGGCCTTTCAACTCCTAATGTAGATTTGCCTCAAAGTGGTAGGATAAACAGATATCAATTCTTCCCCACCAATGTATTGCGAGGAACCTTTGATGAGTTGTAAATAAGTGGTCGCGGCCTCTTCCTTACATATTGTGGTTGCAAAAGGCCAGTAATATCATGCATTGGAGTAAATTGCTTATAGAATTAGTTGACTCTGCATTATTTTATATTGCGGATATCCCCCCTTGTGTTTTGTCTTAGTTTTTTGTTTCATTGTTTCTCTTTTTTTGTGTGTGGATGAAGGGGATGACATCAGCATAAGAGAGTTGAAAATATTTCAAATGTTCCGTTTGTTTCAAAAAATGAAAAAGAAAGCTGTGAAAAAAAGGCTTGAAAACATAACAGGGCATGGAAAATAAATTAGAAAATAAATGTAACTGCATTTAAAATTGAGCTTTTTGTCAGTCACGTTTTATGATATCTCATTGTTATATCTATGACTATAATACATATTTTGCCTCTGTATTTTTGTTTAAGGTTCAGTTAATTTGCAATTTTTTTTAGGTGCACAGTATTAATAAATGTGGCATGGATACAAGGGAAAAGAGCAGGTTCAACCTTTCCACTGTTATCACTTCTGTCAGAGATGTTATTTGACAACTACATGTAAAACACCTTCAAAGCAACCATACTGATTTAAGTACCTAAGATCACCACCCTCCACCATTTCAGCTCTCAATACTAAATATACCATTGTGCTTGATATATGTGATCATATAATGAGCAGTAAAAGTATTCTGTTTTATTATTCATCATTAATTGTCCTATGTAGGTGTAGCATATGTTAACATAAATCAGTTTGCTGAGTTTAAGCTTGTGTTCCTCAAAACAAGACAACATGTCTCGTAAACCCTGCTGCTTCCTGTGTAAAAGAGGATGTTTCGACTCGCCTAGCTTCCCGTCTACCATCACTCCATGTGAATTAGTTTTCTCATTCTTGGTTTATTGTTTCATTGACTTACTGTTATGTCTTTCATAGGAAGTAAAACTTAAAGGTGGGGTAGGTAATTTTGGAGAAACCAGCTCGAGTGCGCTAAATTTGAAAATACACAGCCGGAAAAAATCTGCCACTTCCTTACAGAACCCCTCCTCCAACACACACGACTTCTTCCCTACATCCTTTCAACTGTTCCTTGATTCTCTGATCATCTTTGGAGGATAAACTTACCTCCGAGATCTGATGGAACTGGACGTTGGCCTGGCTGCATTTCTCTGCCGTCTCTAGTGCCACCTTGTAGTTGTCCACAAAGGCCTTGTACACTCCCAGCTGGCTGGCCTGTAAAAAAAGAAAAAGATAGTGGCATAAATAAGTGCTTTTTTTCTATTTGATGTGAATTGTTAACAAGGATTCAGACTTAACAAGTAACTAGTTAACTGTCTAACTTCCTAAGTTAACTAATATTCTATCACAACACAAGTCTGCTGTAAACCAAAATATAGTAGAGTGAGAACAACTTGCTTTCCCCTTCAGTATCACTTACATTCATATCGTCAAACCATTACATTCAAATTCATATACGGCTCTGGCAGATTAATTAGTTTCTAGTCCCATCAGAATTTTGCCTGGATATAAGGGTTGAAAAGAGTGCAGCAGTTCATCTTGCTCCATCAGCGTACGCACAATAATCACTCACACAGTTACACATACTGTACAGTTCATGCACATAGGCTAATCACATTCCCATAGTGCCACCCCACCACTGGCTCTGAGCAGATTCACTTTCCCTTTCATTACCAGCCCTCTCTGCTGCACTGTATGTGCATTGTAACACAAGCTGCAGAGCAGCAGTGCATGAATATGCATCCTGCTACAGCCATAATTGAATGGCTGGGCTGAAGAGCTGACTGCACCCTATTAAAGCAGTTAGATTGGATTCAGCTGAATATAGTGAATGAGTTTGACTTGTTACTTTTGTCCTCTCTTCCCACTTCCTCTCAGAGTGTGAGGTGGAGGGTTAACTGGGCACAAGAGAGGAGACATGAGGCAACCATCGGCCTGATATGACACTTACAAGATGACTGTGTAGATCAATGCATTCATAGGAACAGATGACTAATAGCCAACAGTGATTTTGTGATATAATCATCATAGCATAGCGCTGAAAGATGTACACACACAATAACTCAGCCAAACAAGTGTCAGTGTATATCTGTCATGATAATTGGAGACTTCTTCTAGTCAGAACCAAAACCTTGGATGGAAGGGAAAAATCCGCCTGTCTGATCACATTTCCGAAGATAGAGGTTTTTGACTCGGCAGCTCGGCTGGGAAGTACAAACCGAGCATAATTATGTCATTAGGGCTGCACGATATTGGCAAGTTCCATTTTTTATTTTGCAATATATATGAAAAAATAATCATTATATGATTAAAGGGGTGTGCATCTGCATAGAAAATAATAAATAAGAAAGCTGCTTCTGGTCAACAACATCACAACAAAACATTTCCTGTAGATTAGTAATGGAAATGTAGAAATGTGCAAGTTTTTCCTTTTGCATTATGCACAAAAGAAAGTTGAAGTACGGGGTATTTTAAGTTGATTTGCCTTACTTGACATCTCCCTCTGCAATGTGACTCTTTTACGTGCAGACATTACGATATTGATGTTAAAAATTGATATATGTTGCGGCTTTAGAGGCTTTTGTGGTGTTTCAACAGATCACCATGTTGCTTACAGCCATATAGAAACTCTTCATCCGTCACCGTGACGCAGGACTATGAGCAACGCCCCTCCAAGCATAACGTCTGTACTTCAAACGCCAATAATCACAGGTCAAAGTCACAGGTAGGAAAACAACTCGTTGTGTTTGAGTGAGTAGGTGTGAGGAAGACGATGAAAAGTAGGGACAGAAAAAAGGAGAGTCTGAAACAGAAAGAGAGATGGGGGGACAGACAGTACTAGAGCCTTGAATAGAAAGAAACACTTTCTGGCCGATTCCTGTGGATTTATAACATCCTCATTGACATGCTGGACAGCAAAACGCCGCAGGCCAAACTATGTTCCTAACAACATCTTCTGAATAATTATACAGCTGTGAATACAAAAAATAGCTATTATAATTTAAGAGGAGGCCTCTTTCTGTTAAAGCAAAAATCATATGATTATGATGAGAAAAGAAGACAAACACAGCCATTTTTTGTAATTATATATTAAATGAATGAATTCAGCCAACTGATCAACACATTCATTGAACTGTTCAGCTGACATCAGCATGAAGAGTATTTAGTAATTAGCAGTATCTGTATTCTGCACATGCTTGACTACAGCTAACTGACCGGCAGCAGATGCTGTACAGTACTGTGCTGTCTCCAATGAGCCATAATTCCTTCCATGGCTGAAATATGTTGTTCCCCTTTGAAGTCAAAACTAACGTCATGAACATGTCATGTGACCAACGACTGATGATTCAAATCAAACCTGGGAGATTTCACTACAATACTCATTTTCAAATGGTGCAACGACTAGCACCTCTGTGTGGCCACACAAATAAATCAAAATCTCAAAGTGAAAAAACATCGACTCATCATGAGTGCTAGTAAATATCATAGGAATGGCTGTACCTTTTTAATATTTCTTAAATGAAAGAAAGTTGCTTTGGGATGTTGGGATTTAAAATGTAAGTCAACGTTAATGCTAAGGCCAAGGCTAATGACTTCTGATACAAGCACTCTTCTCATACCATAAACGTTTCTGTTTTTTCAACATCAAATGAAAAAAAGGTTTGTCAGACTGTAACCAGCATTTTGGTTTGACGGATAAATATCACGACTCGTTTTGCATAACTATATAAATGGCATGCCATCATTATGCAGAGTTAGTGCTCGAGAAACTAGCATCTCATTTGAGAAAGTGCTAATCAGTGCTGCTGGTGGAGCGGCTAACTGTAAAACAACTGAATCTGTAACTACTTGCTACTGCAGAGTGTACAGTACTTAACTCATACTGTATGTGTTTACAACGAGACAGCAAGGTTACCAAAGAGACTATGGTTAGCAAGCTAGCCAGGTAAAACATTTCATCACAAAACTGTCATTGCAAAATAATATCAAACTTTGTTACCTACTGAAATGTGTGCCAAGACGAGAGTTGAAAACAGTCACATACAAAAAGTTAGCATTGAATATTTAATATTAGGTTCTTAATAAAAATTGAATCTAGTTTGTCTTTGTGGGAATATTTCGTCTTTTTAATTGTACTTTTATGAATCTTAGACTGTTTTCTATATACATCAAGGTATTTGCTTTTGTACAGCTTTTAAATTCGTTAGCAACCCTGGAAAACTGTCTGGCAAATCGATATATGGTGCATTGGCTTGTATTTAATAGCATGGAAAGGGAACAGAGCTCTCATGTAGAAATGTCATTCTTTTTTGCAGTTTAAGGGCTTTCTCTCATCCCCCCTCCTCCCTGTGGACCCCAGGAGTCGCACCACCAAGTGTCACTTATTAGTGTAGTCATCAGATCCCATCTGTGCTGCATATATGTGCGTACGTGAGCGTGTCATGTGGCAGCTAAACATTTAGTCAGAGCTGTAGTGTGAGGGTGCAGATGGCGGTGTAATTAGCTGCTTCACTCCCTAATGATTCTTGTCCGCCACATGGAGGCCACTGAAGGAACATAGAGGCACAGCTACAGAGAACAGGATAAAAGCCAGCCACAGTTCCAACTTCTCTCACCTTCTTCTAGACATTGATAGGGCTCAGCTGCAGCCTCTGCCTGCCAGCATTGAACTAAAGTATCTAATTCCTTGGAGAGATTGTTGTAAGTGGGAAAGGTGTACTTTAGCTATGAAAAAGAGCTTGTTGTTACAAAATAAATGCATGTTTTTGAAGACTTTCATTGCTCTTTTTTTATCACTTTAATAGTCAAATAAAAAACTATAACTTTAATTTATGTATTGATGTAAGTAGACATTTTTTATTTTATAACCTGCTAGTGGCATGGCTCGATGGATAGCAAAGTTGGTCAACAAATGCTGAAATCATTATCATTGTAAGCATTTTGGCATGCTAATGTTAGCTAACTAGCCAGGCTGTATAGTCTCGTTTATTTCTGTCCTCAGGACTTAAACTTAGATTGTTTAGTCATGGTACTGTATGTTTCCTTTGTCTGAGCTGGCATGATACCTCTTGCTGTGCTCTAGTCAAAACAACAGTGTGATCATGACTTGGCAAAATGTCACACATGATCTCAAATAATGGGCATCTGATTAAATCACAGCTCATTAACAAGAATGAATGACATCTTCTAAGATCCAAAAACATTGTGCTGCTGAATAATAGACTCATTTAATCACTGATCCAACACCAGTTTAACATTTTTATCTGGTTATTTTTATACCATTTAAAGATATATGTCTAAAACTGCATACACAGTTCTCAGTGGACTCTACGCAATGATTTTTTCAGTAAGGTGTTACTAATTTAACATCAAATGAACTATGACACTCAATTGGTATTACTGTGCAATGATGCTAGGAACACATTCAAACTAAATTGTCTAATTCTTGACAAGGTACTAAAACTTTGAAGTGCAGGATGGCAACAAGAGAGAAAACTAATTGGAGTGAATGTTGTTATTGTGATCTACCCTCTTGTTTGTCGACTAACTGGTTGTTTTGGTCTTTGATTTTACTTTTGATCCTGTCTCTGGTAACCACAAGCTTTAAAGTGATACTTTTGCATTTATTTTTGAGGAGAAACTCAGTTTTACAGATCTGCCGTTCAAATCATGTAATGTATTAGCCGACAAAATATTATGATTTAGTAAACTAGGGATTTCGTTAGGCTAGAACAGCCCTATCTTGTTATTAACTATTATGTTGTTTATAACCATAACTCGATACAAAATAAAAATGCTGTTTTGTATTACTGCTTCTTTGGAAATGTGACTTAAGAGCTTAACCTTGTTACGGTCAGGTAGAAGAGGTTTATAGCAAGTCACAGACACTTTCCTAAATGGACAGTTTGTCCGTCTAGTTTCCAGTCCAGGAAAATTATAAAGCACAATATCCTGTTAGCGCCCACACACAGTGAGACGTGGCCGGGTAAACAGGACACAGTGTGCCAGCGTTTCATTTCTTCAAAGCATTCAGCTATGGACATTGAAATTGTTGAAAAAGGCCACTGAAGTCGTAAATTGTTATTAATTTCATATATTTGGTTCAGTTTCATCCATCAGCTGAAAGTCTCCATTACAGCATGTTGCATCAGCCTTTCTATGCCAATAAAATGTAATAAGTATCTAAAAGAGACACACACGCATGCGAGGGCGCCTTTACAGTACGTTATGTCCCGAGAAGCCCTGTTCAAATTGCATTATCCACTGCAAATCTGCCAATGCAATGATGCAACACAGAGGGAGGGCTTGCTGACTTTGAGACAAGCTGAGGCCTGGAGCCTTGCTAATTGTATACACAGACACATGCACACCCATAACGATGATGTAGTTACATTATGTACTGAGAGCAAACAACATAATCCAGCGCAATTATGACAAGGCTCTGCAGATCGGAGGCTGCAACATTTCAGACACGTGGGAGGGCACACACACTCTCACAGTGTAATTTAAACGAGTGAGTACAAATGTGAGTTGGACAATTATCGTTCCAACAGTCATTTATGTACCCTGCAAATGATGGAGAAAGGGGGGAAAAGACCCACACTGTAGTTTCAGTCCCCATAACTCACCAGCTTCTGGAACAAATGGCCCACGGTGACCTTCTCGTCCCACTGCTGGATGTTGGGTAGGAGGGCATCGTAGAACTCCTTGTGGATTTCAAAGATGTCCTGGATTTTGTAGAAGATGGTTTCTACCTGCTGGATGGTGAGGACAGGCTGCGAGCTTGTGGCTGTTGCTTTCAGAGGTCGCATGGGCTGGATCAGAGACAGAAGTGAACAAAACCGTTAGTTTCTTTCACTAAAGAGATTATCTACAGTAAATATAGGGAGAACTGACAATCATTACACCAGAACTAAACCCACTTGATGTTTGTTTTTAGTTCGTTTCAAGTGTTTTCCTATTTTTGTGTCATGTTCAAATTGATAAGCATATCACACTCAAACTCCGGTGAAATGGGTTGAAGTGGTGTCTAATTTAGGAACAGGAAAGTTGTACATGATAAATGCTGATGACCTAGTAGACTTCGAAAGGAAATTAAAGAAGAGGATACACTTTCATGAATTAAGTTATTATATCTCATCTTAAGAGCATTATTCCCAGAATGAAATGATATGCTCTGGATGTTCAGTCTACAGTCTAGTGAATCACATCTATTGCTCCTTTAATTTGGGATATTTGGCTGTTAAGAATAATTCAATAAGTCTCTTGGAAACACAGTGAGGTGGTTTGTTTAAGTTTGTGACAAAATGTATAAGCTAAATGCAATGGACTAGTGTTCCTCTGGTGTTTACAGCAGTCTGTATTTTGCCGTTATAACAAAAGAACCAAGAAGTATTTAACGCTAGCTTTCAGATATTGACATACGTTTTCAGTCCGTCATATTCACCACCATCAATTGAGAGTTAACGAAGAGGGTTACAAAACACAATCCAACACTTTCCCGCTTGTGAGTAGGTGTGGGATAGTTGGGATATTACTGCGGATTGCAATAAATACACATGGTCAATTAGAATTATTGGGATACACATGATTATCCTCACAAGTCACTTGACTCTCTAGAGTGGTGCAGTGGCGAGTCCTAAAACCCGGAAGTGAGTTAGCATTTTACCACTACCGGTTCCCTCGTCTCAGAGTCAACGGGATTTCTTCATAGGATTTTGGAAAATAGCTCGAAATAAGGTCTGTGGTTGACACAAATTTAAGAGACAGATCACGTGTTGTTCTACGACAGGGGTGGGGAACCTCCGGCCTCCGGGCCGTATACGGCCCGCGAGATCATTTGGTACGGCCCTCGAGGTAATTTATAAACACACGCAAAAAAGAAAAAAATTCAAGAAATCTAGACCGCAAAATAATTAAACAAGCGAGTGCCTGTATTTCCTGGCCAAGGTCAGGGTCCTTGAACACAACACGAACGTGTCATCACGTGGTATATGTCTCGTCTGATATGCGTCTGACAGGGGTGTAGTTCTAACGGAGAGCACCAGAACGCGGCTCCGGGCCGGGACTTCACAAATTGCAGTAACCATAAGGAACCGTACACATGCCGCAGTTGTTGTGTGGCTGTGTCTTTAGTTGTAAGCTCAGTGGCGATCTGTTCATCTGTCATACTGATCATACAGTCAATAACTTTGTTGTTATTAGCATCTGGTTAGCTAGCTATGCTAACGAATATAAGAAGCTTTTTCTCCAACCAGTGAGGTAAGGCACATCTTTATATGATCATTATAGTTATAAAAAAATAAGAGAATAAAGTAAACAGGTATAAAATACTAATATGACAGTAAAAAAAAGTTTAAAATTAAAAAATCCCCCCCCCACTTAAATCATGTCCACATGGATATGAAACTAAATACATTTGCACACATCTTGTGTCCATATATTTCTGTTTTGGTGGTCATGCCACGGTGCATGCATGCGCGGGTCATGGTCAAATATCTGGATTAAGAGGTTGTTTTTTCTTTGCACAGCATGAAAGAAAGGCGAAATGAATGGGCTGTGATTTTAGTTTTTTAAGCAGACGTTGAGTTCAATCATTTGTACGGCCCTCGGAGGATGTTGTAAAAATTGAAATGGCCCTTGAGAGGAAAAAGGTTCCCCACCCCTGCTATAGATACTACCCCAGTTCCTAAACTGTAATGGGAACGCGCCATAAAGCGAGCCGGTCCTAACAAGGCCTAACGAGGCCAAGCAAGACCGGGCTCCGCGCTGCAGTGTGTTCCAATGATAATAAACAAACATTGCATAAAGCATATTTGTCCACTCATATGTTGATAAGAGTATTAAAAACTTGAAAAATATTCCTCTAAGGCAGTGGTTCCCAACCTTTTCCAACTCAGGGCCCACTTTTAAGTCTTAAATTTTTTCGAGGCCCACCTTCCCATAAATACAGAGGCCATATAATGCGTTCTCAAAGCACTTTTTTTAATTAAAATTTGAACATAAATGGAGCACTGAATACAAGAGAAACATGTTGGAAGCTCTATANCCTCTTGCAGGCGAATAACCTGACCCCCGGCTCGATTGAGCGAACTATGGATAAATAAAATAAAATAAAAGTATCGGAGGAAAACAGAGGATTTAATCCTGCATGTTTAGAGTTATATGCTTTCACAGCAAACGATGCTGGCTTACCGGTATGTTTGATATGTGGAGAGAAGTTGTCAAAGGTGGTGTGTCTGAGCAGCAGAGATGACAGGATATGAAATAGTAGCCTAGCTTTGGGGAAACACGTTCAGTGCTTCTTCCAGGAAACTGAGTGACTGAGGTCCTGCCTTCATTCTGACCATTAACCACTAATAGTGTGGTCGCAGTTCACACAGCAGCAGCAGCACTGCAACATGCATGCACCTACATGAAACTGAAACTATTTTCTCTCCAAGTAATGTTTTTGAAGTGTGTGTGTTGTGAGGTGTGTGTGTCTCACCAGTAGAAGGGCCTCCAGCTGGTTTATATAGATCTCCTCGCTGGCCAGGAAACCAGACAGCACCAGTTTCTTCATCTCCAGTCCTTTCTCTATGTCTCCCTGCATGATAAAACACACATAATTGTAATAACATACAACACAAGAAGTTTTACATTTTTCCACATCACAGTGCCATGACTCAGGCTCATTTCCTGCAGTGACCACATCAGGTAAACAGGAGATTTAAACACACTCATCAGAAGTGCATAGCTGTTGTTTGGGAATTTAGCTAGTATAAAAACATGTAAATGGCTGCTTCCTCTGCGGGAAAGTCTCCTAGTGCTTCCAGGCAGTGTTTTTTTACTTTAATATCAGGAAAGTTACCTCCCTAATCATGTTTGGGGAACATTAAGGAGCTAGAGAAAACAACACACTCACACTGTGATCCCTCTACAGAGGAAAACAGTAGTTTGGGAAAGACTTCTGAATAGAGGAAGAGGTGAGAAACATAGCTGCAAGCAGTGTGATAAAACAGTTAATCTGAGGTGAAATGTTTGGCATCCTTACTGTTGTTTTTTGTCCCAGGAATGGGCAGAAAAACATTCTGCATGGAGTGAGACAAGTCAGACAGACATTCAATTCAAACCTTGTGGCATTTTATCACAATCCAATCCGACTAACTGACATTCCTATATATTCATATATTTTTTGGTGTAATTACTGTTTAGCTAGACCATAAACCTCACATGTTTATAAAAAGTAGAAAAGGGTAAACATGATTACATTTATTTAAAAAAGCAAAATATATACCGGATTAAAAGGAACTTCAAATGCATAGGGACCAAATCATTGGACAACATGAGGGATGTTTATGTTTGATATTCGTGTTAGTTTGGATGCCTGCACATCTGATTTAGAATAATAGTAATAATACAAGTAATAATAATTGCTGACAGGTTGTAGACAGTATTGGTGGACCACCTATGGTAGACTAATTATGTTACTTATTTAGAGACGGAGGCATGTAAATTAGTGTATGTTTTTAATATAACAGAATGTGTATTATGTTGCTTTAAGCTTATATTTTGTGTTGGAAGTTGAACAATATAGTTTGTATTCAACCACTGATTCACTTCAACATGTAATGGGTTCTTCCTTGGCCCTTAATACACCCTTCTACCAAGTTTGATGAAAATAGGGCCAGTAATTTTCCATAATCCTGCAGATAAACAAATTATACTGAAAAACAAAATATCCTTGGCGGCTTTAAATAAATTACACACTATACAATGGTGTGAAGTTAATAATTATTGCTTTTCATGCATATACTCATTACAATATGGTAACACCTGCAGGATGATTTACACTGCACTATAATGGAAAAACTCACATTGGTGTTAAAATAATGTAAGGCACTATATTATATTATATTATATTATGTATGGCATACAGTATGGTGTTGACCAAAAACAATTCCAATGTGTGGAAATCCTAATTGAAATATTCCTCTATAGTACAACTGCATATTGCTTAACAGTAAATGAACAGCTGTTCAACTGTGCAGGGTGTCAATCCCTCTTCACCCCCTGCTGAGCAGGCGCACACAGCAATAAAGTAGAGAATTGCAGTCAGACTGACGTTGAAGAAGTCTCAGTGTGTACTTAAGGGAGGCCAAAGAACAGCCATGAGAGCAGAAAGGAAAGTTAATATTTAACACAACCAGATCCTCACAGTGATATGATATCACCACACCTGCCTGATAAGACGAGAAGGAGCCATGACCCAATTGTTTTAATCCTATCACGACCAACACTTGAGCTATACTGTGTACCAGGAACAGTACTGAACAGTGTCAACTTTAGATTTTTTAATTACAGGATCATTAACAATTGTTGGCTGGGGATTAGCAGAGACATAGCAGAATGTATTCCCTGAGGATATTTAACTGCAAAGAGCCACATTTAGAATATACTTCTGGAAATAAATTAGAAATATTTGATATGCAGTAGCAGTTAAATCTTGTAAAAGAGGTTACTCTTAAATGTTACATGTGTATCTGTACAGTGACAGTTGGTGCTTTATCTCCCTGTGGCATTCTAAAGAGAATTACAAGAAGAACCAGGAGTGATTTGTGTAGATCAAGTCACTTTTAATTGCACGGGTCAAAGTGTCCAGTGAGGGATGTCAATCAGCTGTTCCACTCTCAATCCATCAGGGTGTGATCCCATTATAGCATCAGTAAGCTAACAAAGGTTTCCAATGGAACCATATAGAGCAGAGTTTGAGCAAATTCAATCTCAGAATTACCTGGCGGCAATTTAACCTCTAGTGGGCAACGGCTAATATTTCGTGGGGGTTATTGTGTAGCCAATTAGGAATCCCCCTCAGTGCACGGGTCATTGTTTACAGTCCAATTACAAACGTTCTAAATTATGAAAGTTTCAATGCAGATAAAATGATAGGCTGATAAAAAGCAATATCATCATACAAAAATAGCCAATGGGTTCCTAAATTGCATTTCGGCCAATTAGTTGGCAACACTTGATTGGTCAATACATCCTGCCTACTGACTTCAAGCTGACTATTAGGCCTGTCACAATAAATACATTGTTTACTTCTCATACAATATATGTTTGATGTTTGAATTGGAGGGTTGAAACCCTCTTTAATGGTCACACATGCAGAGTACGCAGCACACACAGTGAAATGTCTACTTTTTACCAATCCTAGTAGTAGGAGCAGTGGGCAGCTTTGTACAGCGCCCGCTCTGATATAGACATGGCCTCTTCTTCTTGGGCCCTTCATTGTGACTATATGCTGGTTTGTTTACATACGCTGCAGACAGACATTGCACATTTTTAGTTAAAAGATCCTGAAAGTCCAATTAATTTATTATTTTGGTTAAAAATAAATAAGAAAAAAATCACATTCAAATTCCGATTTGTGTGAATGTTCTTAAAGACTAAAAGGGTGAATTGTGATGTTATATTATCATTATATCAGTGGCCTGATACGGTCTTTAAATCCCAATAATATATTTTTTCTTTGGACAATAATCATCCAACAAAATGATTTATTTTGACAGGCTTACAAACAGAAACCAGAACGCTCAAGATACTGAAACCTTGTCCTGTTGCTTGCAAAGTCTGCCTGCACATATCTGTTTATAGAGAAAGCTTCCGAGTCTGTTGCAACCCTGGTACTACTTGAAACAAAGTGAAAGAAAATGTTCCCTCTGAAATGCTGACTGGAACTCAAACTAAAAGCAGCACTAGAAATGAGTCATATTTCCTCTTGAGACTCTAAGATGGTCCTTGGATATGTAAGTCCTGCTGCAGCTCACCATTTATTTTAAGCACCATAAACCATATGTTGGTCCACATCTCCAGGCAAATGTTTTTTCATTATGTCATTGTTTTTTTTATTGCAATAACACTTCTAACATGATTTCATCGCTTGTTTAAGGTCTGGAATATCATGCCAGATGCGTGCAGCTGCCCTGACAATACTAAAAAAATACAATTTGATGCAAAAGGAAAGAAGGACACGTTGGTGGCGGGGAAAGTGTACTCCTTCTGCGACAAACATATCACCGCAAGATGGAAAAAAGGAAGGAAGGGAAAAACTGTTTTTTCCAACAGTGGGAATATTTTCCCTGTGCTGTACAAAGAGCTACTGTGTGGCGAGAGGGCAAGATGAGAAATACATGAGAAGTGAAAGGACTTTTCCATGGCAACCTGCTCCTGTGCATGCACTTCTTCTTACTTTTGATATAGAGAGAAAGCTGTGTGCTCTTTTATGGTGCCCTCTGCTCTTATTCTGTCTGATAAAGAAAGCTGATATGAAGAGTTACTGGGAACCACAACCTTTCATTCCATTCAACTGTGTAACACACACACACACACACACACACACACACACACACACACACACACACACACACACACACACACACACACACACACACACACACACACACACACACACACACACACACACACACACACACACACACACACACACACCATTTAGAAGTTACAACCAGAAAAACACCGGCCGAGTTGAAAGAGCATCAGAGTGAGGAGACATGTGCTGTGTGAGTAGCTGTCTCCTCAGGCTGACACACTAATGGCTGTCACACACACTCGTGCAGCGCAGATGTCTCACGTAGCAGCACATAGTGATGCCACATCATCCCAAAACACCAACAACACTTTCCACTTAGCTATGTATAGCGCAGCTGTCTAGCCTGGTCAGGGTGTGAGTTGCAAAAGTGTGTGTGTGTGTGTGTGTGTGTGTGTGTGTGTATGTGTGTGTGTGTATCCCCCTGCATCCAGCCGCTGTCTCACCTTGAACTGTCTATGTGTCGGGGTGATGTGATCCAGTTCCCCATCTCCATATTCAAACACCTCCCCCTCCTCTTCCTCCTCCTCCAGAACCCTATCCAAGTAGCACAGCACCTCCTCCTCGTCCTCCTCCATTATTCTTTTCTTTCCTTCGCCTCCTCCTCTCCTCTTTCTGCCTGAGATCCCCTCTGTTTCAGGGCCTGCCCGGACACATCAGTGTTTTCCCTTCAGAGCAAGTCGTCTGGTCATTGCAAGCGAGAGAGAGAAAGGGAGAGGACCCCGCCTACGCAACCCCACCCCCTTCCTCTGCCGGGCTTCCTGGTGTGTGTGTGTGTGTGTGTGTGTGTGTGTGTGTGTGTGTGTGTGTGTGTGTGTGTGTGTGTGTGTGTGTGTGTGTGTTCCACCTCGGTCGATGAGGTCTGCCCTCCCTCTGCGTCTGCCCCTCCCCTCAATAACAAACACTCTACAGCCACTTCCTGGATCGCTACATAGAGCGCTTGTGTCCGCGCTGCTCTGGGAGTCAGTCCGCTTCATTCTCTTCTTCTCTGTCTTCCGTATCTTCAGACTGAAGCCACTTCCTCAAAACACACAGCTTCCCTTATTCTCGCAGAGTGTTGCAGAGTTCTCTCTCTGCCCATTGTCTCTTTATTGATCTGCAGAGAGCCTTGGATGTGGAGCAGAGATCGGCTCATGTGCTGCTGGTGCGTCTGATTCTAATTACAGGTCACAGAGTTCACAGCAGTGTAGCTTGGGAAGAACATGAGGTTGATTTAAAATAGTATACAGAAGAAAGGAATGAAGAAAAACTATATCTCTTGATACTAGAAAGTAAAAAAATGTTGCATATGTAGATGTGTGGACCCGTAGATGTTACTTTACAGGAAGTCTGCCTGCCTATAGATTCTCCTCCCCCATTTCTCAGGCTCTCTGTATAACTCTTCACTCTTAATCTTGCAAAAAAAAACTTGGAAGAGTGGGAAAACAAAAGTATATTTAAGCTTAGGGCTTTTATTTCTAGTTCACTAACATTGCAAACCATTAATATGGGAAAAGAAATAAGCTTGAAAGAGACTTCAAGAAAGCCAGAATGAAAAAATATATAAATCTGGCAAAGAGGATAAAAAGAAAAAGCATAAAATTAACCAAGTCATTCATGTATACAGCCCAAACTAACCAATTTGCAACACAACTACATCCGCTATCCATCATTAGTATAAGGTAAAATGTTTTTAAAGCATCCCAATATGTAAAATAAAACATCTCAAACTTCTTTTAACTCCTATGTGGGCTACAGATGCGATCCTCATGCTGAATTTATGCATCTTGGCACAGAGGCGTCAGCGTTTGCTCTCTCATGTCAGCAGATGAAAGGCAAACTCAGCGGAAAGAAAGGCCGACTTAACAAGGCGGTGAGGAAAGAGAGGACGAGTTCATAGGAAAGACCTTTGGAGGCTGCAGCGTTGGACAGAAGCCTCCTATAACAGTCTCTCTCATAGCGCCAAACCAGCCGCTGCTATAAAGTGCTCTGACTCGGTTTTAAGTGCCAGGGTCAGGAGGCAGAGTTAATAAATACAGAATACACCCACAGAAATGCAATTCTAGGTTATCTTAGACAGTTTGACAACAGCTTGCACGCAATGAAAGGTTACAAAATGTTTACATATCTTATTTCAAACCTAAACAAAAAACAACAATTTATTTCCTTCTCAAGAGCAACCTAAGGCTCCAAAGATTCACTAGATCTGAACATGATTGAACACTTCCACTACATTTCTTTATAATGATTTGAATTGAATGAAAACATAATTTTCTCTCAATGTGGTTACTAATGTGGGTTATAAATGATTGACTTGATTTCATTTGTCCAGTCTTGTCTGTTGTTACCAAAACTGGCCCCTAGATGGAGACACATTTTCATTTACTCAAGAGACCCTGGGATAATGATTCATATTCTTATTAAATGAGTGTTTTTATAATACTATGGTAATGGGAGAGTGCAGGCATATTAAAGAGCAAATAGAGCAAAAGGGTGCTGTGAGATTAAAGCTGCAAAATTGTGATGGTGGGGAATTTCTACAAAAAGTGTGAAAGTGGCAGAGGTTACTCCATTACAATTCTTTATTTCTCTTAACCAGCTGTTAATATGTACATCACTTCACATAAGTCGGAGCCAGCCACTCAAGATCGCTGGTTTCATTCGGGCTTGCTGTGATGTGTGAATCTAAAGCCTGTTAGCTTCTTTGTTTGGGTGTGAGTGTGTGTTTCTGTTCAGGTCAGGGTCAACATGACTCCCACT